TAATAATAATAATTAGTAATAATAATAATAATAATAATAATAATAATAATAATAATAATAATAATAATAATAATAATAAACTGAAGGAAGTTTGAAAAGAGGTAGAAGACTTACAGAAGAAAAGATGCAATTAAACCAGGAAATAGCAAATCTTTCTCCAATTCCATGCCATATTTTATCGCTTCATTAATATCTCGATTAATAAAATGAGCCTAGAAATGTTTACTATGGTTGCGATGAGCATCAGAATAATGAATTACTGATACATGCAAATTTTAGCTAAGTAATTTTCACTTATCTTGTGTCCATCAAAATATTGTCAAGTCATGCAATTCACAAGGAAATTAATTACTTGATTATTACAAGAACTTAAAAATTGGTGACACTTACAGAAAAAAGACACCATAAGGAAAAAGAATGGTGCTCAGGTTTGAATTTGTCTTGAATTACTTCAATGTATTCTTTAAGTGAAGCAAGTGTGCAGGTGGAATGCTTGTTTACACCATCAATTAGTGCTATCTCCAGCACCGTATATTCTCTTAGCATGCTAAATATGAACGTGCTTTATTTCACTTTAGCGGAACATTAATTTCATCTTAATTAGCAAACACTGTTCTGAAACACAACTTTAATTTTTTTTTTTTTGGCTACACGACGCATGTGTGCAGTTTATATTGATATAGCAACGGGAATTGGAAGATCCAACACTGGAAAATAATATTCTGTTTTATCTGTTCAAGCCTATAAGGAACATAGCTATCGAAATCATAGTGGAACACAGTCAAGAAACGAGAACTGTACAAGTACGGAGTAGATTTGCGCAGTGTTTTTCGGTAACGTGGAATATGGTCGTACGATGTTTCAGGGAATCTCGTGATTTTGTATCCTCAGTTCTTTGAGCTAAGAACACACAGAATACATGGATATTTTAAAGTCCAGGATGACAAATAGTTGAAGCCTATTGAACTAACCCAGTGTGCAACGACAGCCTGTCAGCCTTAATGGCTCGATCACATAAGTTTTCGATGTTCTCCAACTTGACCAAATTCGATGCATTCGTCTCCACCCTATCTTCTAGCGTACCTCCCAAAAGTTGCAAGCGTAAGATTATTGTGAGTGCTGTTTGTGTATAAAACTGTGCTTGTTCTTTGGATGAAAACATGGATAAGTCGAGATTCCTTTAAAAAATATTGTATTTGGTGTAAGCCCACAAATGTTTAAAAACTGTAACAATGATATGATGTAAAAACGCTGATATTAAACTGATTCCGAAGAGAAAGAGATACTATTGAAAAGGACAGATTAAAGCATCATCTATAACTTTTCTTGGAAAAGTGCTCCATGTGCGACGCTTTGTGTTTTGCTAATACAACTTTTGCAAGAACGGATGAACGTATGGCCAGTCTACACAAGGAAGTGGTGCTTCGAAGTGCTAATCAGTTTGGAAAATAAAACGACTTTCTACTCCCTTGAATGTTGTAGGTGGCAGCTTAAGTTTTTGTATATCATTTATTTCATTTACTCAAAAGGTGATGGTGACAGAGCACGCGCTAAGCTCATGTATCGCATAAAAATTTGCTTTCGTCGAGGAATTGGCACCTTGTATTGATCAACTTCCCAAAGGACTATGAAAGTATCCAAATAATAATCAACCTAAAATTTGTGTTACTAACTCTTTTGCATCGAAGATTTTTGCTCTGATATAGATGAGAAATATACAGGGAAATTACCAGCTAATTGAACAATCATAAATGTTCAGTTTTGAACGCAGAATATAGTACATAGCCTTCATTCGTATTAGTAGCATCGAGAAAATAAAAATTTTGAGAATTAATTTTTTAAGATGACGTATTTGGGAAGCCTTCACCTCATTGTCATCAATTTGCGAATAAATTAACGAGAGCAGCAAAAATGCTTCAGATCTATAGATCCCTTGGCCTTCTGCATATGCATCACGTAGTGTATCAACAACCATACTGTGATATCCTCGAGCCGTTTGTTTCAAAGCATCCTTATAAGCACTGCAATGACATAATTACAAAGGGGGTGGGTGAAAGCGCAGTAATCCAAAAAACTTATTTAACACAATACACCACACACAAAAATTCTTGCTAATAAAATGCAAGCAAATTTTCATATAAGGAAAAAGGGAAAAAGTACCAAGGAATTTCCGCTAAATGAACTATCTGCAGAATTTTTGTGATTGAAAACAGAACTAAGGTGATTATCTGTATAAATACAAAAGTGAAAGATAATGCCGGATCAGGAAATTCTCTCGGAAGCGTTTGATGAGTGAGAAAGAAAAGATCCTGTTACAGTCTGTCAAGACTAAACAGTAGGAAATCAGCCTGGTGAAATGAATCAAGACTGCCATTCCAAAAGGTTATGTAAAATGTACTGTCATGTTACAGTCGAAAAACATTACATGAGTTGCCAATTCCGATGATCATTTTGTCCAAAATCTTTTCTGACTGAAACTGTTACAGTCACTGAGATAAGTTTTGAAATTAGACAAGTAAAATAAAAACTGCAAACCTTTCAACGAGTGTAGATTTATTCAGAGGATTTCTGTCTTCTTCACGAACAGATAATAAGTCTTCGAGTAGTATATCGTCACATGGACATAAAGCCCATAAATTTATCCAATCCGAAGTTAGGAAGGGCTTTTTAGCCCTCTGCTAAATTATGAAATTCCCTCAATTAAATAGCAATGCAATCAGGCGCAGCTTCTGAGTGCAATGAAATACTCAAAAATTTTGTTATGATGCAAATTGCACATTCCATGATCAGCTGACATCAGGATACCCTGCTAAATTTGGTAGTAAGAAGCGGTATGGCAATGGGATTGATTGCCTTTGCTGTTTCTGGCAAAAGGATTAAGCCAATAAGCAGCAATTAAACTCATACTGTTTGTATTAAATCTTCACCTTTTATTAATAAATTCCTATCTGTTTCATTTTCCAATTCTTTTTTCCTTCTTTTATCACTTTTATAAGGATTGCACGTTTTGGTACATATTCGGTAACTGCTACTATCCACAAAAAAAACTTTGGACAAAATTAAGATTATAATAGCCTTATGTGTGGGAACGACTGTTCCCTTCATGCCAGTAAGCAGTGCAGTGGCAATCTAAAACACATGCAGTGGACGCCCCAGCATTCCTAGGTATTCCAAAATTTCCAGTGACAACTCTAATTTGATATGTTATATTTAAAAGTAAGGTTTACTTTCTCCTTTTCTAACGACCATGCCATCTTCACTGTTTCATGAAAACAATAAATGGTATCGCTCACTTCCTCCTTTGCCACTGTCAAACGGTACTCCTTCATCAGTGCAGTAAATAACACAAAATCTAATAATGCTGTTAATATTTTAGCACCATTTTACTTCAGTATGGTAAGTGGAACAAAACTTGGCATTGAGACTTCAGGATGTAAAACCGAATAACGTTACAATAGCGCTAGATATATTCCGTAAGTTCAAGCAAATCCGAAAGACTCCCTTGTATTGGTCAGTAATGGCACAAAACACTGAAAATTTCCTATGATTGCTAAGGGCTGAACAAAATGGCATTGTGACCTTTCTCTAGTAGGGTGCAGTTAAAAATTAAAGATTGAAAGGATTCACTTTTGCAGAATGACGACAAAAAATTAAACTGACCTTTATAAGCTAATTTATAGTTATGACATTCATCGCGTAGAAGAACTGCTCGTCTTTTGTACCAAAAAGCATGAGCTGGATCATTCTCAATCAGCTGGTCGTAGCATTCAAAACATTTCGTAAGAAGACTCTGGAAAAGTTACATAATATAATTGGATAATGATTATTAGTAGGAAATGTTAATTTATCAGTTGTATACTAAATAATACCTGGTAGATGTTAGTTGATTTCATTCGAGAAAAAACTCAAAATCAAACTTCATGTCAGTGCAAGCTTATGATATCCCATCAATCCAGTTAAAATTTCAGTCTTACAATAATACCGGCGAAAAAAGACCATGTAATTTTAATAATTTTTCACGAAAATTCGCAAAAAAAGAGACTTGATTTCTTTCCATTGTATAGAGTATCCAGAAACAGATGCAGCATTTATCCTGATACACTCGCAGTATTTTCATATCTCTCCCAAATTCATCTGTTATATTCCCGTGCTCCCCTAATATCTTCATTGCACATAAAAAATCAGCATAAGCTCCATGAAAATCTTGTTCCAGAAATTTTTGATCACCTTTACAATGATAGTAAGCCGCTGATAACCTACACTCCTTTAGCTTTGCATCTAAAATATTTGGATTTATTTATTATTTTTACTGGAAATCGTTTGTATCCGAATTCTCATTTCCGCAGGACTGGTAGAATACAATCCATCCAGCACTCATTTATGTCCAAATTTTTTCAAAATTTGAAAAATACTTTTTAACACTGCAAAATGGAAAGGACCACTCCGTTAGTTTAAAAAAATTGTGCTTACACTATTGCTGTGCTAAATTGGTTTCAACGAATGGAAAAATGCTTTACTGAAATGTGAAAGATCAGCATATGATGTTGTGTTAGAGTTCTGTCTCACCTCTCAAAGCAAATTTCCTTAATCTTTTCGCTCCAATCTGTATTTTTGATTTCCTGCTCTCTTTTCATTTCTGATACGTGATAAAACATAGTTCTGTCCTACCTATGCTATTTCTGTGTGACAAAGTATCTATATTTACCATATCAAAAAATCAACGTTTTGCATTTTGAAGAGGCAATGCATTCATTTAACTTTCCAAATAGCTTGGATAGTTAGCTTTTTATTATGGTATTATTTCGTTAAAATTGTGGAATCAACTCATGTAGACCATCAACAAACGATGTGGTTTTCCAAGGACACGAAAAACAGTAGTTAACATCAAGATCGCTGAGATTTACAGTGATGGTTCCTGTGTTAATAATAGGTACCAAACACAACTGTAACTTCTATCTATTGCTACGAAAACGTTATAACGTCACAGGAAAAACACTATCTTACATTCGGCCGATGTTTCATTACAATTAACGCTTCCTCCTGGTGTTCTGCTGATATTTTCGATTCTGGAGTTACTCCATAACAAATTGGGGTTGCTCATAGGCCGTGATTCAACTCGTTTCCATAAATCCGCTGGTAATGTCTGCGCAACAGCGGCGCTTTTGCTTTTGCCCTTCTTTACTTTTTTGCGATTTTTCTTGCTTTTTCTAGCCATACTACCAAATCTGTAACAATGATTAGGTCCTATTGACTTTGATGGCACTTTCTTTCACCTTAAATAATTTCTCATCGAAAAAACGCGGACCGATAAGTATTTTAATGATAAAAACAATTTAGTATCCATTAACTCCAGTACACCAGATATTGATACCTTAACTTCTTCCATGCTTTCATGCCTCTTTCTAATGCAGATCTTACCGTTGTTTCAATTGCTTTCAAGTTTATATGTTGGTAATGCCAACTACTCCTGAAGTCATAAGTTTGCATCAGAAGTTTATTTCTCACTCAAGACTTGAATAAAAAAGAGGATAAATAACCAATGCCAAATTTTCAAATAATACAAAAAACTTGGCTCTCGACACCGCAACTTGGGACAATTGAATTTTCCTTATGACCAGCCTAATCAGTTAATGAGAATGGCTGATGCACAAAATGGATCTACTTGAAGCCCGCGTGAGAGAATACACTAGAGCAACTTTGTGCCGCAAAGACACCATAGATCATTCTGAACTTTTGAATAGTAAAATCACATGCAATTGGTAAATACTGTCACTCAACAAAGGAACGAATGCAGATTTTACAGAAATATTTTCATTGTTTACAGATGGAAGAATACAAATTCATTAAAGATATCGGAAAGGAAATTTCACAAACATATAAAATACATTAGAAAGAAAATGTGGATCGCGGATGAAAATGCGTTAATTGATCATACTGTAACATAGCAGTAGAACCCATGCACACGCTGTGATAACGATAAGGCAATGTAAATTCCAATGAGCTGAAGAGTGATCGCAAATTTTTTAATTATTATTGGTTCCACTTTTTAATCATTATTGGTTTTCGACTTTTGTTGTTGATTATTTCCTCATTCCAACAGAGGGTAGGGTAGAACAGAAAGGGAGAATTTAAGAACATCGATAAGGAAATGTCATAAAATAAATGATTGCAAAAGTTCAAACAAGTAGAAGTTGTGCAAGTCTTTTCTCTGATTTTTAATTTGAAACTTATTGAAAATTTATTAGTTTAAGATGAGTAAAATGAGCTATACCTGAAATGCTGCAAATGATATACCAACCGAGACAAATATGATCGTCTGGGCAGTTAGATAGCCTAATAGCTTTTCGTGACAACCCTAGAAATTCACAAAAAATACATGCGTAATAGAAGTTATCAATGGTGCATTATCCTAGGTGTAAATGAAAATATACTTCATTTCGCTATTGTATTTCACGATGATTTTGTAAATTTGGCAGATATTTCTATATCCTAAATTTTTCAGTTGAAAAAAAAGTGCAGCTGAAGCAACCGGAAAAATGAAGGCTGCTTTTTGGATAACCCACCAGTAACTTTAATAAATCGTTAAATCACCTAAAATCCTTCATGTTTATGCCATTCTGGATATACACATGATTATCTCCTAATGCAGCTCTCGTTATTTAAGCAGTTCTCATATTCTTGAGATCCATTTTCTTGCAATAGTGAGGTCTGTGATGTGTGAAAGGAGGAAGTTGCTAAAAAGTGAGGTGAAGAAAAACAAGTGTATAGGGAATGCGATCTATTTGGCAATACTCTTTGAATGAAAGAATAAAAAAGACGCAAAAGTGATCGACAAACTGTTAATCGTTAACGATTGCTCTTTGGACGACATGCACTACCAACCCAATCATAACATTACTTGAAACAAAAATTTTCTTAAATCAGAAGGTCCCTCCATCCTTCCCACTTTGCATATGTAGATCTGTAATAAAAAGTAATAGGATGTCGTGAAGGCGGAGAAGGGGGAACAAGTTTGATTACATTATGCGCTTAGTCAAGGCAACATCCTCTCCTTATCATTTGCCTGTGCTCATTTAACCAGTAAAGATCCGTGAAGCTTGTTTTATGCATCTTTGCGCTTGATCAACATCGAGCATCTGTCGTACACATCCAAGCATCTAGTATTGTTTCGAAATTTGCTGCACTATATTCAACAATATGCGACAAATCTTCCAAAATCAAAGCCGCTTGTTATCATGATCAACCTAATCAGCATATCTTAATATTTGGAATCCTTTGAACAAATAAGAATTTTATATATTTTATTCATCTTGCAGTAATATCCTTAGGGCAGCTCATGTTTACCTTTTCATATAGTCCTGCACAGCACGCCTTTCCTGATCACGCACAAAGTGAAAGACGTTTTCAGGTAGTAAGCACCCCATCTCTCTTCCCATTCTTCCTTGAGAGCTACCGATCACGGCACCTTTCCACGAGAAATTCTCTTCTACCAAGGAAGTGGAAAACCAGTGTGTTCAGCGTAAATGCATTCCTTTCCCTCTTCACAAAGGTCTGCCCTTCATCGCAATTATTCTTAACTAATAATCATGCTATAATTGTCTTTCCGGATTTGATTTTCTTGATGCTTCAAGCCCTGACTCTGACAATGTGGTTCAAGTGGCGTCTGTCTCTTTTTCACTGTGCTCTCAGTACGTTTACATGAGTCTAATTCACGTTCTAATTGTTTCCATCATCGTTTGACCAAACTGAGACATCAGTTATCACTAAGCTAATCCGTTACTGTAAGCCGGAACCTATGGAACTGTATAAATACTCTTTTCCACTTAAAAGCTATCGTAACGTGTTTCTGATGTTGAGTGTTCTGATGATCACTTTGGCATCACTATTAAGTAATTTTGAACCAGAAATAAGTTTTACAAGTTTTTTTAACCTGAAATAAGTTTTTTTTCCTTTTCTCTTTTTCCCAGAAATAAGCTTGAAAATTATGAAACTGAAGACAAACTATGAGATGGATTTTTCTGATAACAGAATTAGGAAGTGTTAGAATGCACTCTATCAACTGCAAGTAAAGACTACTTGTAATTTTATTTTAGGTTTAAAAACATTGTTTTTAGATTTAAAAAGGTTATAACTACACCTTTTTTAAACCTAAAATAAATTGTGAAAAAAGCACAAGCACCATACCTGAGTATTGACGGAACTATTGAAAGCAGAAGTATAGTAGTTATATGAGGTGCACATTGTATCAACTGGTTTTATGAACCAGGCTCTTGCTTCATGCATTTGTTTGCAGCACGACTGCGGTACAAATGATATGGTACCACGTTCTGTATTAGTTTTGTACCAAAACGAATCATAATAATTGTGAGGACCGGTGGCACCACAACACTGTTGCTGGAAGAATATGCCATTTGTAAGTACATCAACACACATATCTTTATCTTTGGTTAAGGGTGTTTGGAACTGAAGTCAGTTAATTTGCATTGAAACTGTTTAAGTTTTTAGAATAAACCATCGTCATAGGTATTCATTATTCATAATTTTGCCGAAATATTTTTTAGGTACACTTATCGATAGGGACAAATCACGACAAGCCTGTAATTTGCAAGGGGCTTCACAGAACAACATGAAAGTTATGGATTAAAAAATCATAAAGAATAAAACAACCGAAACAATGGTTTAATGACATGACAGCAAGCAAAGGAAGTGAGTGGTAACATCCCACTTCGAAGACGAAAGAAAGAATTAGTTAATTAGATAGCAGGAAATTCTTGAGCATAAATTATGCTATGATGTGGTAAAAGCAGTGGCAAAACCAAAAGCATATGGTAACGCATACACGCACGTATACATATAGACCGTTAATTATACGCTATACTTTTCAGTGTTCCCTTAAATTATTTGTATCTATTAACAAAGCTATGCGTCATTCAGCGACTTTTTAATATCCAACTTTTGACCGTTATTTAAACACAAAGCGACCATGTAACTTTGTAGCTTTGACCTATTGCAGGAAAATGGAGTATAAATTCTATTCCACAGGATATACAGAGGCACGATGGATAATCATTATCAAGAAAATGAAAGCATAGATACCCAAACACGAATACTGACTATTGTTACTTTGCTTCATTTAAACCATTCAATCCTATTTAGTGACCTGACTCGCAAATTTTGAGGTTTTGTGTAGTAAATAATCTTAATGGTTTATGTAAGTTGCAAAAATCCACCAGCAGGATTTCTAACAAAGCCGACGGCTTTTGCAAAAAAGTTTGAATTTTAGAATGTTATATCTGCCAAAAACTTATTCCAATTTGAAGTTTTAAAGTAAATTAGCTACAAATCTCTCGAAATACTGAATTCCTCCAGATATTTCAGTGATTCCGATAAACATCAGGAATCTCACTCGTAGCATTTTACTATCAGTTTTAGGATACCGTTTGATGTCTCCATAATTTATTAGCTTGAAACTGCTGACAACGTGCTGAACTTCGGGCAACGGGATTCATCGATGTTGCACCAGTCAACTGTACACAGCATGTATTTGGTACTATATCAAAACCAAACTGTAGTTGCTGTTGAATTAATTCAACACCTGTCCAGTATGATGTACGCCATCGACTGTTGCTCCAATCCCTGTAATCCACTGAACCACAACACTGCTCCTAAAAATCATTACAAATTAAGAAATCTCATATTCATATAGCATCTCAATATCAGTATCATCATCAATGTCAGTATCAGCATTCAATATCAGATAATTCACAGCTATTGAAATTCCAATGAACAAAATATAGCTAACATTAAACTGTAGTCTATCAATGAGCGACGTTACTCTGGCATTGTATCCGATACTTGGATTGATACCATAACTTTCTCTTATCAGCGATTGCAATTTCTGATCAAAATCACTTGTTAAGAACTAAAATTTTGTATAAGGGTCCTCATGAAAAATCGAATGGTACAATTCGGAAGTTCTTGGTCGTAGAGCATATTGAAAAGCAAATGAAGGATTTGCCAACGAAAGGTAAGATTTTCCGGGGCTTTCCCGGAAGACTTCAATCGATCCCTTCTCCTTCTGAATTTCCAAAAAAAATATGTTGATTTAGCATGTTAATATAAGGCGTACTGAAATAAAACTGCTCATCAGCAGTTATGAAAAGAAGCTTTGTAAATGCCAAAATAGCAAATAATAAGGAAAAAAAAATGACTGATGGCTGTGATTTTGAGTGGGAAATTTGAATGTTTCCATCTGCAATGATGAAGGGCAATAATACAACGACACTTCATAACGTACCATATAACATTTCACCTTTTCAAACGCATTAAACTTTTACATTAA